CTTACGTTACTTACGTTACTTACGTTACGTTACGTTACGTTACGTTACGTTACTTACTTACTTACTTCTTCTTACTTACTACTACTACTACTCTCTCTCTCTCTCTCTCTCTCTCTCTCTCTCTCTCTCTCTCTCTCTCTCTCTCTCTCTCTCTCTCTCTCTCTCTCATTTTAAAGTTAATCAAGTGCAAGCTTCCCAATTGAAGAGTGCGATCAGCCCTTTGGATATGAGCCATCATTGCCTTCATCCAAGGGACCACACTAAGTGCCTAAAACATCCACTTGAGTGACCCTGGCGCAAAGGGTTCGATCATCAGCTGTCCACCATTATTCTGTACTTATTTGTCGTAACTTTGAGTTCATTTGTGTTTTATATAATCAAGTGTTGCTCATGTAAAATTTGGAGTTGGTTTATGGAAAAGAGAAGTATATGTACAATCCATATACAAGTGTATGTGCTGAGTGATGTAGTTTACTTCTATGAATACAATGTGTTTGTTTTTATGACTTGGGGAATCTAGAGAGTCGTATTTCTTTCATTTTCAGTGATACTTGAGTCTTTGTAAATCAAGTATTGTGGCCATAGTGAGTGAAGTTGTATTTGAGAGAAATGCTTGTAAAAATTTTAAGTTGAGTAACTAGTGCAAATGTTGTACAAGGAGCACTCCATTCTCTATACCACTGTCAGTGGCGACCTAGGTGTTGGGCGGCAAGGACCCACCGGCTGCCCAGGCACCGACTGGAGTTTTTTGGAAACTTGGAAACCAATCACAATGGCAACTGTAGGCGGACCCCACACATCAAAGTGTATGAGACAAAAGGAATATCACATTTTTATTAATGCTGAGTGGAAATGAAGTTCAACAATGTTTTGACGACTCACAAATATCACACTGAAATTGCACTTGACTCAGAGACTTAAACGCTTTAGGAAATTAAGAACGCAATGCAAAAGACAACGCATGACCTAGATGGGTGTACACAAATGCACCCTTTCTTTATTAGCAATGGAAGATGTGGCGACAACCAAGCCACGATCTGGAGTCTCCAAAAGGAACTACCCTCCATCATCAGGATCACATCCAAGTGTCTTCCCCGTCATCAAGTCCTGGAAGACATAATGAGACGGAAAAAAAGTTACACTGTAGTTTAAAGTCTTTGCGATATTACTAATTGACATGAGGTTATTTGAAAGATTGGGGTTAGGCAAGGTGGACCACAAGTTAACAGGAGTAACAAATATGGGCTCCCTTCCCCTTGACAGCAATAAGAGAACCATCTACTATTTTAACAGATTCAATTAGAACAAGGAATAAGAAGAGAAAAGATCAGTCATACCAATCATATGTTTAGGAGCTCTAGAGTCAATAATCCAACGGGATTTAGATGAATTTATCGAGGCATGATGAGCTGATGTAGATTTTTCTATTGGGAAATATGGGATTCATAGGAAGGAAAGTTTCGAATGGAAGCTTGCTGCTTGAGATCAAGATGCTCTCTTCTAGGAATATTCACCAAGCATCTTGCTGCCCATGCATAGCAAGAGTAGTACTTTCACTAATCGTTGCTGAATTTGCTTGACAAAAATTATGTCTAGGGCGTCCAATCAGATCTCAACATGTATCCCTTGTTTGTCGAGTCTTCCCACAGCGAATGCACTTTAACTTATCCTTCTCATCAAATGTGGGGTTTCCGCAACCACATCCACCGCCACCACGGACTGCGCTTCGATTCCCAAAACGTCCTCCACCTCGATTACCACTTGAACTTGAGAGTGGGGCAGATCTTCTATTTCGCCTATCATTCCATTGCTTTGCGGCGAGTTTGTTCACACTGAAGAAGAGAAACAATTTCAATTGATGGTAGAGTCTCACCACCTAGAACATTTACCCTAATTGCTTCATATTCCCTATTAACTCCTCTCAAAAGATAAAAAATCTTCATCTATTTTAATTTCTCTTGGTTCCCTTGCACAAGATGAGCACTGTATAGGTTGTTAAGCCTCAGAAATTGCATCCCGTATATTGCAGTTCATAAAGGTGCGATTTAGATTGGGCTGCATAGAATACAATAACCAATATTCCATATCATCAGCCTCTTCATATTTAAGACACTTGCGATTTGGTTTTTCTACACGACCTTCAATATATCTCATTTTTTTCTACCTACCAAGAAATAATCTAACTGACTTCGCCCACTCTAAATAATTTGTGCCATAAAATTTAACTGTGGTAATTTGGAGTCCAGACTGCTCCATATTTAATGTTTGTTAGGACTTCTTCTACTGGTTGAGATCTGGTTACAACCTCAAATCTAATCAATAGTTTAAATCAGGTTACACCCTCAAATCTCTCCCAAAAAGAGATTTATCGATCTGCTTACACCTAAGATCTGATCACACTTTTTTTATTCCAAAGAACATCTCAGATCTCTTCTTAAAAGGATTTACAGATCTGGTTACACCGTCTGATCTGATTACACCTCATTTTTATTCAAAAGAACATTAAAAACAATGCTGCCAATATTGTTTTTATTGGGTACACAAACCCTAATCCATCTGTGATTTAGGTTTTCTATCAAACACATGATCTACATCAAGAAATAACCAAAAGAACTCATCTTGATCAACACAATCCTTGCTGAAAAAAAAAGGATAGGGTTTCAAGGCATGATAACATCATCTAATCATACGGATGACATCAGCCCCAAATCACATCTCCACACACCTTCTATTTTGATACCAAGTTAAACTTAACCTAGGGTAAATTAAGAAAGAGAAAAGGAAGGAAATATAAAAGCAAGAAATTCGAGAGTAGTAAGAGAGGGAAAGAGAAGGAAGAAGAGAAGAGAGAGAGAGAGAGAGTGACGTGAGGAAGAGAGAGAGGGGGGAAGAAAGTGAGAGACAGTGGCGTAATGGTCTAGAATGACCAGCATGCAACTTATTTTATATTAACAAGAGTAACAATTACAATACTGCCCATGGCACAATGAAATAGGGCATATAAGTCTTAAACAAATATAAAAAACATTTATACCCCTCAAATAGAACAATAATTAATTATTTTCAACAATTATAAGGAGCAAAGTAAGCAAATCTGAAGTTCAGTTAAAATGAGGTTTTCCTATTTTTTAACATCTATATCTTATTGTAAAGAAATGTCAGTTGCAGTAGCTGGCAATTGTCCCATGCATCAGAGTACAGGTTGAAAATATTTTTAGTAAGTGGGAATTTGCATTGAGTATATAGAGGTATATTAAAGGTTTAATAAAATGCATCTCACAAAGCTAGAAACAATAAACCATTTTAATTACAAGTATACTATATTCCAATAACTGCTGTATAACCATAATCATTGGATCATCATTGTCCAATGAAATGATGGATGGTGATGGAGATAGAATGATAGATAGGTATATACATAGAGAGAGAAAGACAGGGACCTGCTAGTAAGGTCAGCTCCCGTTAAGGTAGGTCCCACATGCTTTCCATCACCCTTTCATTTCCTTGAACAATGATTATTCCAATGGAATGTGCTCGGCCTCAGTCCATTATATTGTAGTGGTCTTTCCCTTCCTAGTATTATATTCAGTTAACAGCCCATTTATGATTAGGTAGTGTTACCTCAGTATCATCAATCCTGAACCATGCTCCTTGAAGGTCCTTCACATATGACACATAATGACCAGAAAAAGAAGCATTTGACGAATCCAAATGTACAACTACACCATACAGCATGTAAAGAGGAGGACTATCACCAGTTCCAGTCATGTACGGGATCATGTCTAACATATCGGGGAAGGTCACGCATTTATTAAGTTTCCCATATTTCCCTGTCTGATAGATAAAACCCACAAATATAAGAAGCAATAAAGTTAATAAGTTACAACAACAGAAAAGAGGAAATACAGTATCTATGCTAACACAAGTGTGTGCATGTCCATGTGCATGCATGCATGTGTGTATGTGTGTGTGTGTGTAGGAGAGAGAGAGAGCGAGAGAGAGAGAGAGAGAGAGAGAGAGAGAGAGAGAAGTGACGTGGAATCTTTACAATACAATTGTCAGAATATTAGGTGCCTCATGAATACTCAACTGCTTCTTGGCTTTCACATATGCTGCACATCTACTCATCACAATATGGAAAACATTAAAAGTGTATTTCGTGACTAACAAAAGATAAAAGTTTCACAGAAGCATAAGATTATCTGTGGGAAGAAACATAAAACCTTCCACATCTGTACTTGTTATCTCCATCCAAAAACTCAGGAGCTGTAAACTGGCAAAGTGCATCCTCCAAAGAGCCGACCCAACCAAGTATCTCCAGTGTAAGATCCATGATATTTTCATATCGCTCAGATTCATGTTGGCATCTTAGACACTTCACCTGGTTTCAGTGAAAGGAGGCTACCGTAATAAACTTAGTGATCAGGAGAGTAACAATAACTCGTAATAAAGACCTGAGGCATCCACCGGCAAAGCACAAGCTCAGGCTTTGTTCATATGGCAAGAACCATGCCTAGAAATTGAATTTCAAGGAGGTACAAGGCTAATATTAACATATAGGATATGGTATTCCTTCAGCCAAATGGCAAACCTTGGTCCAAGTTCAGCAGAATTCAAATCGAATTGGAATATAAATGTGGGTTCTTTTCCTAAGTTTAACTAAAATAGATTGAACTTGAATCACTTACAAATTTTAAAAATTACAAACAATTTCAAAAAGACTTCTAGTTTAGATATCCAAACTTTGACTTTGACTGTTAAAAGCATTTTTTGAAATCCCAATACTTAGAAATCTTGAAAATAGCTAATTATCCTTGAGGAAAAAAGAGAAGCCATGATAAATCACTGTGATTGAGGAAGAAGTAAGGAGCACCTTTGATCTAAGACAACCACCAAAAATCTGATGAATAAATGTTGTTTCTTGCAATTGTGGATCGACTTTCTTCTCACCTCCCAATTTCTCAAGGCAAATAGATTGCATAGAAGTAACAAGAAGCCTGGATAAAAATGGCTTTATCAATCACAGAAAAAAAGAACTCCAGTCAAACAATGGAGAAGGAAAGCAAGAAACACCCTCATAGCTTGCCATGACTAAAGAAAATACTCGGTGACATTGTGTTTCAATGAAAATGAGAAAATACCATTCAAAGAGAAGTGTTGCAATTTAGAAGCAAACACACTGTTAGAATCCTTCTCGTTTTTTTGTTTTAAAAAAAAAAAGGATCAAACCCACCTTAAGAATTCATGGGCGTCTTCCTGGCTCCCTCCACCAATTCGACAGCCAACGTTCTGCATGTGAGAGAGGATTCCAACAAGAGACAGAGGGCCACCATCTTCCCTTAGATTTGATATGTGCTGCTCAAGTGCGCACATGAGGCACCATTCACTCATCCAACCTATATCCAAGTACTGAGGAATCAGACTGAAGTATGAGTAATAAACACAAGATAGCATGCATAAAAACTAAAGATCAACTACACAAAAGCAAGCAAAGAAAAACAAATGAAACATGAAAATTTGTACATTTTGCAGAATGAGATTTCTGGAGTAGGTAAATGGCAAGTGGCTTTGTGTAGGTCAAGCATTGAAGTACTGCATTTGCATAGCAACTGCAAAATAGCAATCATTATCATTGGGATTTAAGTTCAAAATCCCACCATCCTAAGTAATGCAAGAGAGAACCAAAGTAAGATAGTGCAGCATCAGATAGATGACATAGAAAGCAGAAACCATTTTCAAACAAATTACATTTTCCATTTTTTCCGCCATGACTTTCTTAATGCTCAGAATGGTGCAAAACATTGATATGACTATGAATACCACAGTAAAGGAATACCTGTTCCCGCAATTCAGAAGGCCTCTAGGTGACAACTCCATGGCTTCACAAGCAAATAGGTGAACAATTTCTTCATAAGGAAACAACATCTGAGACATTAAATTGCAAGGCATATCAAAATCCATAGACCAAAATAGCCCAGGAAAGAAAATTTAAACGTGGAAGCAAGGATCAAAATTCAAATTCAAAATGGCAGACCTTTTTTTTTACTTTTCTTTTTGACCTATTGTATAAGGAAACAACATCTGAGACATTAAATTGTAAGGCATATCCAAAATCCATAGACCAAAATAGCCCATGAAAGAAAATTCAAACGTGGAACCAAGGATCAAAATTCAAATTCAAAATGGGAGACCTTTTTTTTGGCTTTTCGATTTGATCTATTGTTTTAATTTTTTTTTTTCTTAAAAGTAAAATGGAGATTGGGTTGTAGTCCAATTTTTGAGATTCAAATTTTATTAATATTTTATTGACTTATTTTATTTAAAATGTAACAATGGGTGGAATTTTGCCTGAATCTTGGACATTTCTGACCCAAAAAGGACGATTAAAAAAAAAAGTTCTCAAAATGTTTAGAAGCCTTATGTTTATACATTTTGGACTCTAGCCAAAATTAGATTATAAGGATCAACAATGGGACACCAGATATCAACTATGTACTGTTACAAGCCTCTCCTTCGTTCAAACTAAGTTTGGGTCAGTATTTTCCACAAGTTTAATCCACCAACAACTTACCTTGTGCTTCTTTAAACCGCTAACCATTGCTTCTGTAGCAGATTGCTTAGGAGGTTTCGAAATCTTCTTAGGACCCACTGATTTATTGTCCTCATGTTTCAAGACTTCATGTCTCTCTTGAGCCGGAGGTGTCAAAGACACACTTTTTACAGGGCCTGCAAAAAAAATACCATGTCACGAGCAAAATTCTGGAGCACACCAAAGAAAATATACTGAAAATTTATGTCAACTATAGCACTGGAAGTTCCTGATGACCTACTAGATGTATTAGATGAGTGAGCCTTCTCTGTTTCAAAAGATGCCCTTCTTGATTTTGTGCTTTCCCTGTAGGATGGGTCTACTGTCGAAGAGCAAGTTCTCAAATCACCTTTATAACTTAAGGGTGAGTCCTCTTGAAACTTGTCTCTATAAAAATAAGGACACTCCAAGCTCTGTCCACTTTCACCCACACCATTTCTCTCCGAAGGCTGAGTCTGTGACGATCTCTTTGGAGGAGAAGGAGAATTACTTGATGCCATTGAAAGGGTTTGCCCCTTTGAATTACAATATTCTTGTGAAATACCATGCGGTAGAGCATCCTCAAATACAGATTCCATAGGCCAGCCAGTGCCCCGTTCTCTTGGTAACCTTTCTGGGAAACAAATGGGGTCCTCAGGTCTGAACCAAGAAAAGTCTAGACCGAGGGAAGGAGAAGAGGGAGAAATATTAAATAATTCAGAAGAAATACCATTGAGTTTAGGGACTTGGATTGAGTTGACTTTTGCATTCTCAGGTACTGATGTCCTTGGTAGAAGAGATTCGGTAGTCATTGATGCAAGTCCAGTAGAAGAATTCGGGTTGGTTATAACCAATGGAACACATTCTTGCTTGTGACCTAGTCTCCAGTGAATTATTTGGCATTTACCAGAGCTGAAACCAGGCAAACAACCCCTTCTGTTATGCAATAAAAGAAATGCAAAGCTTGAAAAGATTCAATTTGACGAGGCAAAATTGACAGGATTTCTTAAGAGCAAAAACCATGGTGTATCACATGCTTTACCAAATGAGAGCTAGAAAGGAATTATTTATGAACATTTAGTGCTCATGATAAACTTTGCTTGCAACTGTAGAACTGTAATCAATTAGAGCAATAAGAACTTTATTACAGACTATTAAATTATAAATAGAACATACACATTAATTTTCACTTTTTCAGATTTTAATATTCCACACAATCAAAGAAAGTAGTGTTGGGGATGGGATTTTACATAATGAAGAACTATATAATAATTTCTGAAGCTCTAGGACAGCAAACATTTCAATTTAGATTAAAGAATGTTGCCATCCTGCCTAAAAATATGTTCATAAAGAATTACCTGTGAGAAAGATTTCTATGGTTGGTTTGAGATGGGAGTTTGATGCCATTTTCACCTTAATTCATTCTTAAAACATACATGTAAAATTGTGCCAAGCTCGACCATTGCTGAAATAAGAAGAAAATTCTATGTTTTGTCAAAACAAAAAGAAAATCCTTGAGAGGGGTGACTAAAGAGTTATGCAATTCCAATGGAGCAAAGTTCATGTTACTGAGAGTGTGAGTGATAGCAATGGGGCAACCCTAGTGAGAGCCTCCCTGGTTTGAGATTACCCAGGGAGCAACTGTACAATAAACATAAGTACAAAATTGGGAATTTGCATAAACTTTTTAGAAAATATAACTAATTTTACAAATACAATTGAGTTGTATAATGTTACCCACATAATCTATGAAAAATATAATCATAAATATCGTTTGAACCATGTGAATCCCCACACTTTGCCCTCTAACTCGATTTGGATATTGAAGATAAATGCATTCTATCACAATCTTTATAGTGCTAAATTGTAATTGTAGATTATTAATTGAGTTTTAGTTGCTTAGATAATTTTTTCATGATTTCTCATGTGGATTATTTTTAATTCAACAAAAAAGTAATATAATGTACAAGAGGGGTGGTTTGTTCTAACTTTTTGAATCTAGGAGTCCACAAGAATATTCTCTCCATCCTGAGAAAGGACAGTGAGCTTGACTTCCTCTCTTGGGTGCTGAGATCCTTTCATCATGCTTAAGACTGTAATAGATATTAAATTACACTTGGTAATAAATATCAAAAAGGGTTATTATCGGCAAGGTATTTCATTTGAATTACTCTCCATAACTCTTTTTTCCCTCCAATAATCATAAAACCGCTCTCTAGTGGAATAAGTTTAGAATTTGAAACTCTATATCTAAGCAAAGCCATCTACCTCTAACTCAAACTAAATTCCTAGATTCTCTCTCCCTCGAAAGGGCAAGGAAAGGACTCTCATCTCAAGTCTTTCCTAGTGTTCTAAATTGCTTATTTTAAGTACACATTAATTATTTCCAGAAAAAAAAATATTTCTAATTTAAAATGTGAAAAATTGTATCTAACAGATGCTACAATAGAGAATTTTAAGGAACAGTTCAAAAATTCAAGTGTTCTATTGTGGAATAAACAAGTTTGAATAAAATAAAAAACAAAAACTTGTATTTAAAAAGGGAACAAATTTCGAAAACTAGAGCTTTTTGCAACAAATATGCCATTAGCAAGTGTGTGTGTGTGTGTGTGTATGTGGGTGTGGGAAAGGATTTAGTCTGCCCAGTTTTGTTATCCAAAACACATAGTTAGGGGGCATTGTTTGACCTTATCTTTTGCAAAACATCTTTGAATCACCAAGTGAACAATTTCAAAGCAAAAATTGATTTTGAGTTCTCTAGACCTAACCAACCAAATGGAAGGGCAGGGTTCACCATTGAGAGCATAGTTTCAAAAGAACCATTTTCAGGGCACGTTTGGATTCACTGAACAGGGCTATCATGACTAGCATTAAATATGTTACAGGCTTAGTTGCAGTGTTTTCCAAACAAGCAGGATCCAGAAATGGTGCAGACAAATGCATTGTGAAATAATTCCTGCACTAGTGTGTTAAATAGCTATATGTAAATGTATTTAGTGCTCAATCCAAATAGGGCTCTACATAGCCTTTTCTTCTTTTTTTTCTTTTTTAACTATTGTTTGCTGGGGATGAGGAGAGGCAAGGCACAGAATATGGGAACTAAACTTATTCCATATTCTATGGTTTGTTTTGCAGTGGGAAAGCACCATTTGAACTCATGGGCTGACTCCTTTTATATACACATTGTTGGAAATAAAAGGAATAAAATTTATTGTATTTGATGGACAAACCTGTCATTTATCTTTTGTTTAGTCCTTATTTGTTTTATGCCACTAAATTAGGGCAGTATTGTTCATAAGTTGTAATTAGGCTTATTACTACATGTTCGTTTCATGTGAAAGTATTTCCTATATGAAAGAACTCCCTCGTGGTTAGGTGTAGGAATATTTTCACACCAACCACGAGGGAATTTTTTCAAATGAAGATATTTTCCAAGAAATATTTTCACGCGAAACAAATGTTCCCTTAATGTTATAAGAAGGGTAGAGGTCACCATTGACCCTTAAGCCACTCACTTTTGCTCTACCACTCCATCCCTCACGTCTTTCTTTCCTTTCTCTCTCTCTAGATCCTACCAAACGGTTTTTTTCTCTACTTTAATTCCAACTAGGTATCAAAGCAAGACAATTACTAATGATGGGGTCAATCTTCAAAAAGGTGTGCAGGAATTGTGTTTAGGGCTGACGTCATCCTTCGGTTAGATGACATCATCATACTCTAAAACCCTACTTTTTTTCCAATAGTACTTGTGCCAATGAAGGTGAATTTTTTTTTTTATGATTCTGGATGGCGATCAAATATTTATTCAAAAAACTAGTTTTTGAATGGATTAGGGTCTATGCCCCAATCAAAAAACGTATTGTTTTGTTTTTTGTAAATCAGTGTGGGAGATGGCCCCCTACCCGTTTTTCATTAACAAAATAAGACAAAATACATCTCACTATCTTACAACACTACAATAGGGCAGTTGTGCAACATCATGAAGTAAAGAAAGAGAAAGACAATCAGGAGGCCTAGAGCGCTAATATGTTGCATCTAAAAAAATTGTAGCTTTTTTGGCAAGTACATATATCACCATATTAGCCTCACGAAATATATGACCAATTGACCATGATCGAATTACAAGTCTATATTGGCAATTAGCAGCTATTGCGTGAAGTGCCTATGGAGATTTACAGCTGCACTGCATGACCTATACAAGCAGTGAGGAATCACTTTCGATCTGAAAATCCATTTGAGTAGTAGCCAGATCAACTCCAGCTTCCAAGGCACGAAATTCTGCAGAATTATTTGATGCCACACCAAGAGGGATGGCGTAAGCAGCAAAGAAATACCCATCATCCTTTCTGATGACTCCCCCATAGCCTGTTATTTCTGGATTTCGAAAAGAAGACCCGTCAATATTCAACTTGACGTGCTTAGGTTTTGGAAATGTCCATGCAATCGGAGTGAGGGACTTGATCCTCTTTTGTCGCCATACCACTTTTAAATTTTTGTTATCTCCATCTCTCAGATGTGACATGACCACTCTTTGATATTTGCAAGTTCACTAACATGGCCAGTAATACTTCTTACCATGTGTTCACACCCATACTCCTTTCCTTGATGTATACACCAATTGTGCACTTCCTAGAGCATCCAAACTGCCATGAAGGATAAAGAATTCCAAATATTTTGAATTCCCTCTGACAAAGCTATCCAATTTCTCTAAATAGATGCAATGGATGAGTCTGAAGTGGATCTTCACCACATCTCCACACAATTGATCTCCATATCCCCTGAGAGTAAGCACAATCAAGCAGAAGATGACAAATGTTATCATTATTAGAATGGCTAAAGGGACACTCAAAAGCAACAGATGGGGAGACGATGGTGAAGAGCCAACCAAGAAGACTATTTTTCCCTAGAGTGGCATTTTGAAGACCTAGTGCTCTGAAAATAGGTTGGGGGGAGACCCCAATGTCGAATAAGCTACCAAGTCTCCTTTACCGAAAATAACCCATTAGAAGAATGAATCTATATGAGAAAGTCCTTATGTGGTGCCAAAGGAAGTGTGAATGCCTCCACCTCCTTCCAGACCCTTTCTAAAGTTCTCCAGGCTCTAAGTAAAAGACCGGATGAAGGAGAAGGTAAATGTCAAGACTGAGAAGAACCCTGTATATAATTTGCAATCTTGTATTTCAGAAAGTTCCCAGATCTCTATGAATATGGTCTCCATAAGGCTCTACAATCAGCCTCTCTGACAACCATGGATCTTCCCAAATATCCACTGAGTTTCATCTCCAATATTCCATCTTACATTGTGATGCAAATGGGAGGGGCCCATTTGGAGGCCTTTCCAAGCATAAGAGCAAATCTTCTCATAAGCGCCCCATATAGATGAAATTTTGAAAACCTATGCTTAAAGAAACGTGCTATTAAAGAGGAAAGATTAGCCAGGACTCTCCATGCCAGCCATATTGAACTCTGAGATGTCACGGATCCCTAGACCCCCTCTTCCATAGTGAAGTATACATTCTTCCACTTGATTAGATGAATTCCTTACTTCTCAGTTGTGCACTGCCCATAGGAAGTTGCGCTGGAATCTCTCAACCATATTGCATGTGCAATTAGGGAAAATAAAAGATAAGATCTAGAAAATAGCAGATAAGCTAAATACCGATTTCAACGAATGCAAGCAACCCGCATAAGATAAGGACAAAGCTTGTCAAGACCCTATCTCACCAATGAATTTCCAAGTAGAGTGTGGCAATGGTTATGTATTAAATCTCCATGAAAAAGAGGCAACCCAAATATCTTACCAGAAGAGATCCTTCGCCAAACCCCAACTCCTTCAAAATCATGTGTTTAGAGCTTTGTGATGCTCCAAAGAAAAATGCCTTACTCTTACATACATCCAATTTCTACCTCGT